ACTGATTGGTCAAATTTAAAATTTGTTGTTGTATGACAAATGACGACTTCAACTGACAGATACTTCATGAAAATAATTTGCTTTTTGCACTACAGTATTTTGTACGTTTGCAAAAAACTTTGACAGCTTTCCAAGCTTTCCAAGCTATTTGTTCTATAAAAAGTTTAATAAAACAATTACGCTATCAAATACCAATTGAAAAGATATGGAGCCAAATGAAGAGAGGCAAGGAATGACAAGAAAGCCGAACGTCTAGCGAAAAGGAGGGAACGAAGACGACAACGTTTGTTTGAGGAGACTGCTGAGGAAAGAGAAGCTCGCTTGGGAAAGCGTAGAGAAGCATGAAAAAAAAGACCGCTGAAGCGAAAGGCAAGCAAAGGCTTGTCTTCACAACGCTATGTACCAATGATACTGTAGCTATACAAGTTGAAGTATGATATTCGACCCTCTATATTCGACTATTTCTTCACAATTTTCCAATAAAGAGTTTGTCATGAAACGCTCAAGTCAGTATAACCAGACTGTATTTTATTTATATCAGTTATCACAGCCACAGGCAATTTTATGCTGCCAAATACCGTCGGTTCCAACTAAATGTGAACAGTTGCAGATAAAACATTCTCTATTCTCATTAAAAAGCGTGTACAGGTTTCCAGTAGGTCTCTGGCCCAACACGTTCAGACCACACAAAGTTTTTGTTTTTTTACTTATTATTGTACACATGGGAAACAACAATTAAGTGTTGTTGTTCTTGACAAACATTGGAGATTCTAACCACGCGAATGTTTTAACGAGCGACTGTTCATCCTTAGGTGCAAGTGACGGTACAACATACTATGAACATTTTTCCGACTGTGACCGAATGTGCAACGATATATTTTTCAAAGTTGTTATCAATTCCTAAAATTTGTTTATAGTAAAAAGGCCCGCTCAGCACTCACTACTCACGATGATTTCATTTAGAAATGCAGTTATACCAGGAAAGGAACAGATTCTAAAATATGTAAATTTAAAAGCATTGGCTAACAGAATAAAGCGATGTGAAGACAATTTAGGTACAAACTTTTATAGTTGCTATTTGTTATAAAATCCTATAAATAAACCGATTCAACAATAGTTTTGCCTCGAATTTGCATATTCTATGCTGCATGTTTATATTTTATTTTTATGGTATAAAAATAAAATTGTAATACTATGAAATAAAATACATTTCTGTTTATTGACCAGTACT